ATATTATTTAGAGCAGTAGACATTTGTTTGCTAGATATATAAATAAGGTTGCATCTTAAGATTGAAGTGGAATTAACATGCGCAATAAGTAATATTTGTGTAACAATATAAATTTGAAATTAGATGATTAGAATATATGTTAGAAATAAGATTTAAGTTTTGTTTATTCTTAAGAATATGAATTTAATATAGATGATATAAAAGTATATACTTGGTGTAGCAATGTAAATAGAGTGTGGAATAATTAGTTTGAAAAATATAGTAAATCTAATGTATAGTTGTAAATGGGTTGTAACAATGTACTTGGAATTTTTGTAGATAATTTAGCATGGTATATCTTTTAGAATTATCCAACAAATATTCATGAATGTCATAGAATACTTTATTCTGAATTTAGAAACAAAGATTTTTAATTGACATAAACTAATACAAAAATTATTTATAAAATAATAGCACAATATCAAATATCCAAGGTGTTGGTAAAGATGTTTGAAAAAATGTAAAATCTATAGTAGAGCATTGAAGGTTATATTAAAAAAGGACAACATATTGAATAGAAATCAATGTGTGAAACTATGTAAGAATACTGATTATGTTATAAAAGTATTTTATTATTTGATAACATGTAATAATGATATATTGGAATATGGGCTTCTACCAAATATGTTATATGTTGTGTTATACAAAGCTTATATATTAATAAAGAATTGTAGAAAACCAATATATTACAAAGCAACTATCTCTTAATTCAAGAATAAGGAGACATTTAGAAAATTACTTTGAGATTTCATATATTGTTGTGATATAATAATTGATATGCTTATAAAGTAATATCTCTACAATTAAAATAACAATTCAATTGCTACTTTTGATGTTGCAATCAATAATAAAATAAAAGGTGATGATAGACATCTTTTATAGAACTTAGATCATGCAAAGAAAAGATTATTTTTAAAACAATAGATTAACAAAGCATTTGTTAGAAAAATAAGAAGAATTGTATTGCATAGAAAGTAGAAAATTACTAAATTCATAAAATAGTTTATTACTTCTATTGTTGTAACATAATCTCTCGAATTACAAAGCAAAAAAAAATTCAAATGTATAAAAGAACTAGATATTTTGCAATTGTATTTCATCTTATAAGCATAAAAATTCTACAAAAATATTAAATAAATAAATTTCCATCAACTTACATCTCAAAATCCAATTATAATTTTAAGTTGTCAAAACTCAATATGTTCCATATCTTGTGGTTACTATTCTTTTTTGTTTCCATTCAAATCCCTTTCTCTTTTTAATCTTTGTAAAACTTGCTTCAAATACCTCTATTTTATTTTATTTTATTTTATTTTAAATATGCATTTATAACCTTGAAGCTTAATGATAGACTATTACAAGTTTTTTCAATCTTTTTGGCAACATCAAAGAGTTCATTAAGTAACTTGCCTTCATAATTACAAGAATGAGGCATAAACAACCTTAAATTTATTTCTTCATTAAGTTATTTATTATTTATTTTGTGCATTTCTATACCACAATGCATTGTGATTTTTTAACTTCAAGTTTTTTTAATTAATGTGCTACTAATACTTCCAATTAAAATATCCATATGCACAATATCTTTAATTTAACTATGATTCTTCACATTGTGAATAACTAATATTACTTTGTTTTTTGTTAAGAGTAATTCCAAATATTTTTGAACTTCCTTCATATCCTTTGGCTTTTCTTTTACTACAAATCGATCTAACATGTTTTAAGGAATTTTATAATAATTACTATTACTTTCAATGTACTCAACAAAGTATGAGACAACATATGTATGCTTCATATTGTTCAATGTGGCCTTTGTTAGAGTAATCTTATTTATTTCACCCATTCCAACATGATACAATGTTTGCACCTTATTTGTATATTTTTTTCATATTTACAATAAATATTGTACTATACCAAAATTTTCTTCATTAAGTATGTCAATTTATAAGTACAAATTAAATCATCTATTTATATGAAACATAAAATATATTTATGATATATACATAAATTATCTTTTATATATTAATTTTTAATATTTTAACTTTGATTTGCTACAAAAACTCTACCAAATATGTTTTTTTAATCACAATTAGTCTTTCACAAATATTTGCAAAGCTTGGCCATTGCAAAAAATATAAGCTCCAACATTCTCCAATAATCATAGTTAATCCATTATAATTTGAAGGTAACTTTAGTCTTTTACATTTTTTTTTAATATCTTTTTTTCCTAAATACCATCAAACAGATCTTTTTAAGAGAGAATCTTAATACATACAAATGCATGCAAATAAATACACATCTATTTTAAATAGACATATTATAATTGTTTAGAATTTGCTCTCTAATGCCTTGGGTGCTGTGTAATTTTTACTACCATAAATATGCTTATCCGTTATAGCTTTTGGATTGTTCTCAATTTCAATCTTAAATGTTTCAAAATCAATCACTCATACAATAGCATATTTTCTGATCTCAATTATGACTTTCTCTTCAATGATATTAAGCAAAATATTATCATGCTTTAAATCACAATATATAATATGCATGTTATTTAAGTAACATGTACCTTTTGAAATTTAATATGTGATATTAATAAAAAAAAATGTAAGTATATACTTTCTCCTAAAATCTCGCTTAAACTTAGTTGCATCAATTATATCTCTAAATACAAATATTTTCTTTTTTTCCTTAGGTGCATAACATTTTTCATTCACATTATTATAACTATTTATATTAAAATAATATTTTATTAAATTAAGATGGCTTAAACTTGCTAGAATAATCACATCTTTGATAAATAGAACATCAAATCCAACATCCATCTTCTTTTTGCATTCACAAGTCTTAACCACTTGAATTTGTAGACCACTCTGTAATTATTGTCTGGATGGAAGTCTTGTGTGGCAATTTTTAATTCATTGTATAAATAGATAGTGGGCTCAATGTCAAGGTTTTTAAATTCTAAAATACACACTCATATTATTGAATTAGAATATATATATATATATAATGATTAATTTTAAGTATTTTTTAAATAAAAATATTTTGATTTGTTGAACTTACTAAGATGAAACTCTAGTTGCAAATACTATTTGTACTTCTTGTTTTTAAAAAAGATTTTTTCGACCACCAATAGCATTATCAATACCATCACCACACTGGTACTAATTGATAAAATAATAATCTCTTTTTTTCATTCTTTTTTCTGCTTTTCTATACAAAAAATATAATTTTTAGTAAATTTTGTACATTACATGAGAAATAATCAATTGAACTCTCTACAAACATAAATTCTAAGTTTTAAACTAATATCTATGAATAACAATGAAGAAATCATATTTTGTAAAATAATATGGCAATTCACTACATAATTCACTTATAACTGTAAAACATAGGTGTGATACAACATTGGAAAATTCAACAATCATGTGCACAAAAACATCTTTTGGCATTATCAAAGTTGTTACTCTTATAGTATGGATTATTTTGCAACCTACTAATACCATCCATATCATAATATTTTCATAAGAATTGAAGACGTATATGCAAAAAAAAATTAATGTCACTTTTAAAAAACTTCAAAATCTAATATGAAATTATTTATTGTAAAGTGAAAGATTATAAAGAACTTACTTGATTTTAATACTTCTTTGCTTGATGTTGTCATTGGTATATATAATATGTTCAATATAATTACACTCTAAACTCAAGATTTTAAGAGTTCTACTTAAATATATATATATATATATATATATATATATATAATAAAAATATAAGACATATTAAGGATTCTTGTAATATTATTGCCATCTAAGTAACTAATAAGATACTTAAACTAATGAAGTTCACTTTCAAAAGTTAATTAAAAATAAAAAATAATATAATATAATATAATATAATTATTATTGTAGTTTAGAAAGTAACTTCTGGCTATATAGCATTGCTATTCTAATATATATATATATATATATATATATATATAATGCATTAATGTCAAAACTTATATATTTAAATTTAACAATAACTTATATTTTCTCAAATAATTAGCCAGGTTTTTTTATCATTAGATAGCTTGGATATTAAAATTTATATAGTGTTGATATTTAATTTAATTTTTTTTATCTAAAACATCAATATGAAAATTAACATTCTTCACAGCCATACAGACATCTCTAAGTTGTACATTGTTTAATGTTATTCTAGTTTTTATTTCCTCAATAAGTATATGTATTAAATCACTTAGTTAATAAATTCCACAAATAATGTGATTATTTATATTTTCAAAAAATATATAGTTGTGACATTATTTTTAATTACTACATGTATTCAGACCTATTATTATTCTTCCACTTTCAAATAAAATATTTTGATTTTGTGAAAATAAAAGTTATTCCTTCTAAAATTAACTTTCAATAAGGTATTGTAGTGAATGTGAGGCTTGTCCTCAATTGTTTCCACAAGATTTTACTCATAAAACTTTCCTTTGTTTTATTCATGAAGCTTTCATAGTCTATTTGGTGTTATGGATATTCTAGGATATGCATTCGACACTACTTCTCTTCATGAGTGATTTGTGCAAGATTTGTATAATTGTAAACCTTTCTATATTTGGTAAGAAGTATATGCAAGAGTTGGGACAACTATTCCAGATATATCCATTCATTGACTCTTTTTCAAACTACGCCAGATTTATTCTTGATATCCATTACTAAGAATCAAAATTTTCATTACTGAAAGTCGTTTGAAATATCATATTCACATCCAACTAAAGCGTAGTAAGATGTTTCTGACTTACACACACCAATTATTATAGCCTCATATTATAGTCAAAAGAATAGTGTTTCCTCTCACATCACCAACCAATCCAAATTTCAATCATAGTGGTTTCAGTGGTTCAAAGTAGCAAACTGCACCGCACAGCATTGACATTGTACAAACCAAATCAGCGGACACGTGCAATATCAAATAAAAAAGTAATGAATCATGCAAGAACACATTACATGATTGGTTTATTATGCGCAATGACCTCCCAGTTCGCTCCTTTCAACCTCACCAGTACAGTCACCAGCTGAGAAAAACGCCGAAACTGTTTGTCTTCACTATTGTCCATGGATCCGGAAAGTGACGATCACTATATCAGGGTGAGTACACAGCAAGCGGCATCCGGAAGCTGCTGGGGATGTTTGTGCTGATACTTCGATTCGGTTCCTGCAATACAGCAGCATGCCAGCTTCCCTGTCTGCCAGCCAAACTCAATAATATACACTGAAATAACCCGACTGTCTCGACAGGAACTCTTGGATTGTTGCAGCTCGCGGAGCCGAGCAGCTGCAGTCAATGGTGTGGTAGCACTGTAGTCGAAGTCTGGCCGTCGCCAGTTGCTACAATTCGCCGAGACTGTGATCTACACCTGAGCACTCGCAGCCACCAGATCAGTCGAGTCTGTAAGTTGACAGTCAGACTGCGTCTGTCTGTCAGTGTGCCTGTCTGTTTGTGAGTCAATCAATCCGCAGGACCACCAGCTCTGTGCAGAGAAGCACGCTACTGGTGTCAACTGGTGTTATGAGATGGAGTTCCTCCATCTTTGAACCGACGTCAGCGAATGTGACCGCCTGCGCTGATCGGCACCAGGAATGGACCTGGAAGGAAAAGAGGACTCGCGGGTACCATCGCCGAATTCTAGGTTGGTGGGTGCGGTGGATCCGTCGTCCTTGTGATGATACTCATACTCCTGTTTGGAAGAGTGAAACAGGTTGGGACGCTTCAGAGAGCTGCTCATCTTTCGCCACCCTGATGTCCACGCCGAAGAAGAGGATGGTTTTGGTTTCGGCTTCCTTTCGACCTGCGCATGATCCCACCAGTGCAGGGAGTATCGGTATGGGTTTCGTTGCAATGTCTCAGAACTGATGCCAAAATTAGAAGATGTAGACGGAGTGCTCACCTGTTGGAGCAGGAAACCGTGTTCGAGATCGGCGTATTTGGCTTTCATCCTCTCCATGTCTTGTTTGAGGTACTTGATGTCCTGTCGAGCGGCGAGCCAGCTCTCGTGAAGAGAAAGCCCATCTACGGCATCTGAATCGTACAGCCTGCCACCCATGCTTTTCTCCCCGACCTGGAAATCTGAAATGGAAGGATGCCCGCTACCATCGTGTGATTTCTTAGGAGTGTTTCCTGTGATTGAGTTACGAAGCTTGATTTGTTCACTGAACAATACCTGGAGGCGACACCGCAGGGCCACTCAGCATTGTGGACAGCATCGAAAGCAGAGCAGCTAGCCTTACATGATTCTAAATAGAAATCAGATAATCAGAACGCTGCAGTAAAAGGAGTTATACCTGAACAACGACCCGAAGAGGAAGACGTTCATTCTGTGCAGCGTGCAGACACGCTTCCAGGGAAAGTCGCTGACAATCCATCACACGACACAGTTTCTTGCGCTCGTGCTCTGTCATGGTGGGATGGGCCTGTACAAACACGGAAAAAGGAGAAGTTAATGAAGAGCATACCCTATACCTTCTGGTAGACTGCATTTCTACGCAACCATCATCTGCCCACAGTTGATATTGTTGTGACGTTAAGGCCACAATGTACCTTGGCAGTGCCCAGCAAGGTTGACAATGAAAACACAGTATTTCCATCAGAGCAGTGAAAGGTAGAGCAATAGTAGGGCATGCCTTAAGATATGTATCAACCGCTCTATACAATCCATCATCTGTCGACCGCGAGAATTGGGGCACTGACTCTGCGAAGTTCTGAAATCTCGCCAGTGGAAGGTTCGCGTCCCTTGCGACTTCGGCGAGGTACGCGTCCATAAGCTTAGCAACTTTGCTTTTGCTTATATTCGGAGTTGGCGGCGGTTTACTGACGACATTCTCGAAGATGGAAAGTTGCTTGTCATACTTCACGCTTGCCTTCGGACTGGCCACACCAGTCTGGTCCTGAAGTAGAACATGATCTGATCAACAGGGCGATTCGTTCGGAATTTTCTCATAATGTGAACGATTCGTTAGACATGATACGGACACGACTTAAAACTTGGGGGTGGAGTTCAAAGAATAGCAACAGACCTTGAGCAGGAATTGCTCGAGAATGCGTTGGACAACATCGAGATCATACATCGTCAGACTAGCTGGATGAGAAGAAGGAATGAGAAGATCGCTAAATGATGCATGCTCCAGCTGCAAACCCACACGTCTCTCTAGATCTTCTCGGCAGGGAGCACGAGCGCCAAACTCACATGCTGCTCGCAGCAACCTCAACAAAAAGCTGCAGGAAACGGCGTCCTGCTGCGGCGGCAATATGGACGCCACGCCTTCCACCAATGCTCGATTTTCGGCTTGGTCCAGGCTCTGCCAATAATTCTGTTCGTCTCGAAGTACAATTTCCTTCCCAGTCAGATGATGTCCTGGAATGTCCCTGTTCGGCTCTTGATGATGCTTCCGGTTTTTCTTTCCAACTCCAGGAATCCATCGAGTGCCATACTGTGCAATTGCCGAGCCCACCAGTGTATACGCCATACCTTTGGCTGTCATAGCGCTTATTACTTTCCTAAAGGCACTGAAATTTAGCTGAATCACGTCCTCTACCCACCAGTCATGAGGGACGTGCTGCGTCGTCGTCGGCACATAGGAGGTGCTCGTGAACGAATGCTTGATCCCTTGCTGATCGGTGTAAGCCTTCCATGCCACACTTTCACTAAGCCGTTTCACAAGCTCCGTCTCTTCAGCCCATGGGAGCAATCTCTGACATGACTGCAACACCGTAATGGAGTCTTTCCACGATGCTAAGATGACGTAACTTAGATACTGTTCAGTCCTCGAGACAAGATTTCCCTTCTCCAAACTCTCCGTCATCTCCAGATACTCGGCTGCGCATCGGAGCGCAGCCAAGTTGTGCGGGGTCAGCTCCGCCAGCTTTCCATAGCAGAATTTCATGCAAAGCTCAAATGCTTCTGCTCCGCCTGGCATTTGCGGTAGCTTGATGTGGTCTTTGTTTATGTCTCGCGACTCGAAGACCAAGCGATTGAGTCGTCCGCTCCGAGATAGTAGAGGAAACTGAGAAAGAGGTTGATGAATAATACAAATGCATTAGGCCATCTCCAGGAATGGTAGGTCCGCACAGTTCAGAATCCCGACTTATTAAAAACGACGACATGCGCTCATCAATCCTACATGTAAACAATACATGAAAATCACCTTGTGCAGGTGAAATCGAAAGTCAGCCACTTCCACCAATAAATTACTTTGGAGCTCTGTGGCAGCAAGCTTGCACACGCAGATCATTGATGCTGGAGCAGCCTGGAGAACCGTGATAAGTTGTCTTCTAGACTCGCGTGATGCGCGATCACCTCCTCTTCGCCTTGTTTCCTCAGGGTTAGCTGCAGCATTCTACACAGGGCACCTACTCGATTAATTCTCTAGATCAACAAAACAGGTTCATAAATGTAACTAGAAATCTCTTGATCATGAAATTTGATCACATGATTATCTAGAACAGCAAACAGTTACATTGAGGTAACTTGAAGTTTAGATTTACCGCAAAAAGTAGTGACGTAAGATTCAACTTGGGGTGAACCAGAAGATCTATAATTCTAGGGAGCGGGTAAATAGTACCCCCGCCACCTTGGATCAGGATTGTGGTAATATCCAAAGGATCTACTCCTGCATCGTATTCCACCACATCAGAGATGTTAATTCATGCATTCATACTTCAGCGAAAACCCATACCAACTTTTATAAATGGACAGAAATTACCTGCAGATTCCAAAAAGTTAGCACGCATGTGCGGTTTACTTGGATTGGGGGCCACCCGAGCACGCCATGCTTGAACCGTTCCTTCCTTATTGAGCGTAATCACCATGTTGAGCATTGAGAGCCAAGAGACTGAAATGATAGGACTTGTGCCTGTTGAGATGCTGTCCAACACCCAAATGGATTAGTGGTTCGAAAACCTCTGATTAGTCAAGAACTTTCGTGAACCAAAACTGTTAGAATTCGAGATATAAATCTTGCAGAACAGAATAGTGAGCAGGTTGAATTTCGAGAGGTAGACATCAACTTCAGGGATATCTTACATGCCAATCAAACTTGGCCGACTTGGAGCTGAGACATCCCACGCCAAGAGAGATCCACTTCGCTCACCAACAAAGACCCAGTCTAATGTTGGATGGAATGCAAATGCTCCTGCTCCTGATAACTTCACGGTAGGATCAACTGCATGACCAAGAAAGGAACTCAATACAATACCAGTGAACTCGCCAGAGCTTGCGAAACAATCGAGGCCGGGACGCGTGTCAAGTGAAAAACTCCGCTACTCATCAAATTAAATAGATGTGAACCGAAGAAGACTTGCAAAAGCTTAGACAGAAAGTACAAATTCATCACAAATAATTGACTTAGAGGCTTCCTGTAAAGACGAGCTCACGGATGATGTGAGGCATACCCAACAGAGATATCTAAACTTACTTTGCAAGGTGTATAAGACAGCAAAATTTTGAATGTTGTACGCTAGGACTATCCCATCCGAGTATGCCACATACTGTAAACGCAAAATTAAACCAAAGAATCAGTTTTCGGTTCTGTTTGTCAATAAAGTTAGACTTCAAAGCGTAGACACTTTTGGATGGGTTTGGCAGATCAAGAAGCAATTCTACAAAGGTACAAATTGACTTAAGGTTGGGTTGAATTTGCTTATTCCAACGTAAAATTGGGATTGTCCACGTGAAGAAAGAAATACCAGTACTGGGTGCCGAGGGTGACAAGCAAGCTGCGTTATAGGCTTCTTCAAGTCCATCTTCACTTTGGTAGGGGACTTGACGTTTTCAATGTCTATGCCAACAACTGCTCCATACAAAACCACCAGAAAAATCAGCTTCACAGCCAAAACGATGAGTTAATTGAAATAACTTTTACAGGCACAATGACCAAAAAGTATGAGCAATTCTGGTGCACGGAAAAGCATACCGCTAACACTCAATCGGCGATGAGCAACGAAAAACAACCAAGGTTTGACAGGTGTAAGTGCTATGTGAACTTCAGAAAAGCCTCCATTTGCATTCTCAGATTTTCTATCTGCTGACGGGTAGAGTATGTGAGTTCGTTCTGTGTCCAGGTCCCATGATTTGATAGTCCAATCCTACACCGCCAAAGCAATTTTACCGGAACGCCTTTCAGAAGTCATTCCAAGCATTGTAATTAAAAAAATAACTCACGAACTCGATCCTGAAGAGTTAGAAAGCATTCCTGCACCGACTTGCAAGCCAGGCGTGAGAAAAGCAGAACAGTTATGGTTGAGCTCACCTCAAGTACTGCAACAATGACATGACCTCCAGCGGGACTGTAAGCCAATCGCACCACCGCTGCCCCTATATTCATGCTTGACAACCTGCTTCCGGTCAGTGCATCAAACTCTGCAAAAAAAAAGCATTCGTTTTCAACCGAGTTTGCACTTCCAGCAGTAAGAAATGTGTTATGTTGTGTTCAAAACCGTTTTTAAGAGGAAACTGAGAATCTAGTTTTTTTTAATCATGATACGTTCACGTGCTCGCTTCGCTCACAGAATTACAAGACATTATGTGTTCAATGCAACGGACCCGATAGCCTGTCTCAGGACTATCCAAACAAGATGACTGATTGGGTGTCCCTCAGAATCTAAACAGCAAAATCTACGTCTACAAATCTACGTCAAATCTTGTGATTCAGTACGATTGACGAGCATATCCATGCTTACATCCAAACTTCAACAAGGAGACTGCGGGTATCCCAAGTTACAGCTAACATAAATTCGGAGCCTAATTAGGAAACCAACGCTAGGTAACTTCGGTGCTGGATGCTTTAAATGCGCAATACGCTCTCAAATGTTGGAACATAGTTTGCACGTCAGCCTGTGCATTTCTAGGCTAAAGGACATTGTTGCAAAGAGGAAGATACCTCACCTATGATATTCCTGCCCACGGCTACGGCAATCAACGGCAATGTGGGATGAAACGCAGCACAATGAGGCTGCGCAGCTGGGGTGCCGGACCGCTGTGCCGGCTGCAGATCCAAGTGCTGCGTAGCCGTCCACTTCATTTGCACGCCTCCGCCCAGGCTCAGTATCATCCGTGAATGCAGGCTGGGATCATGCACCCCATCTTCCCAGGGTGTGTTCACGATCTTCGGCGCCGTGTCCTCGCCCTCGAATTTCTCTCCTGCTGAATCCATAACCTTCAGGACTCGACTTGGATGCTGGTGTTCCAAAGGAATATGCCGCCCCTCGATTTTACCTCGTGTTGAATCGACGGATTCTCTTGAGTTCCGATTCGACTGCTGATGTTCTGCATGAGTATGCCGGCTCTCAAATCTGTTCCCTGTTGAATCCACTGATTCTCTCGAGTCTCTTGAGTTCCGACTCGGTGATTGATGTTCCGCAGAAACATACCGGGCCTCGAATTTCCCTCCTGAAGAATCCACATCTTTAAGGTTCCGACTCAGCTGTGAGAATTCTGAGATGGTTTGGCGGCCCTCAAATTTCACCCCTGCCTCCACATCTTTCGTCCGATTCAACTGTGAATATTCCAGCGTAGTATGGCGGCCCACATTCTCCCCTGTGTCTGCATCTCTCAACCTACTCAACTGCTGGTGTTCCAACGTAATGTGACGGGTAACGTTACGGATTCTCGGAGTAGGGGTGCTACTCAAATTACCCGGCGCTCGTTCAGATTCTCCTCGCTCCGGACTCCGGGCCTTCAAAGACCGCGTCTTCCTAACCAACGGCGCCCGCGCGCCGTTGCCGATACTCCCGTCCCTGTCCCTGCTTGGCAATACCCGATCCCCATGACCAACACTCTTCGACAACAGCGACATGGGCTTCGCGACCATGATACTAGATGTTCAGCATCTCTCAACCTCAAGTTCCTCAGCCTAAGTATGGCACTCTAGTCCCAAATGCCAACGTTCACTACCACCTCCTCACCATTCCCCCGATCTCTCAACGACGCTAAACTCGGACAACCTTCCGGATTAGTTTCTCATACCGCCACCTCCACTATCGCTCCTCACACCCTGAACCCTTTGGCTTGTTGAATGTCGTAAACCTTCTCATACACGATGCTTCGACACGAGTCCATGCAGGAATAGATCCGACTCATGTAAAACAGCATAGGCATAATGCATCTGTGAATGCAGTCTCCTCTCCGCACCTAATCGATCAAACCCGGACGTCGAGCTCACCACAGCCACTACATCTTCTTCCTCTCCCTCCTCGTCTCCGATCTGCGTCACCAATCCACCCGTTCCAAACGTATCTTCACCGAAACCATCACATTATACTTCTGACCCGAAACTCAATCTCAATGCGCTCGCTCCAACTAGACAACAACGGATCCGCCAAAAACCCGACTGAATAGTTTATAACTACTAGCTCTCTGTCTCGGACACGCGCGCTCAAGCTACACCATTATTCTCTCGAAAGTGCCCCCGACTGAGCCCCCAGAGACCCTGAGTTTGGCGCGACAATTGAAAAGAATACCCTCCGCCATCGCGCATTGCAGTTGCAGGGTCTCTCCCCTCCCCAACGGCGTTCCGCATGCGACGGAAGGGAAACGAGGAGGAGGGGTAGCGGGGTGAGGAATTCAAGTCAACAGTACAAAGCCCTATGTCATGGAATTGTCGCGACACTGTTTTCCGGGTCTCATCAACTGCTTCGCGCTCCCGGCGCCCGCGCCCGCGCGGCCTCCCACCTCACGCGGCAGCCCGCTTCTCCACTGAGAGGGACTTTCCTATTGTTGGGCTCTGACTGGAACCAAGCGTGACTCTCCATCTAAGCTGAGTCGCCGCCATCGAGGTTGTGTCTCAGTGGGGGGAAAGGGGACCAAGGGGCGGATGAATGCGTCGATTATATGAATGATAAGATTCCGGACGAATTATATGTTTTCGGATGAATGATGAGTTCTCCGGATGAACAATTACGTATTCAAAGTATTGGTGAGTCGATGGATGATCATTCATCCCGTTCGCGGCTTTGGGGCCTATTCGTCACATTTTTAATATTTGAAACTTTCAAAGGGTGCTTCGTGAATTAGTTGGTTTGTAATGAGAAAATTATCGACTCAAAAATAGGTAGATATGGGTGATAAGTTGTGAGGAACTGATAATAGAGTGGAATGTGGGCTTTTGTTACAATTTTTTCCCAAAAATACTTATTGGTATGCGAGAATTAAGTTAGTAATGTGAAGATCTAAATCTATGAAAGGTATCTTTGCTCATTCAAATCAAGGCCTGTTTGGGCAGTATTTTTATTCTTGGTTTTACTGGATTTTTCTCCTAATTTGTAATTATAACTTTTGAAACTTAATTTTTTTCGAAAACTCTTTAAATGGTACAATGTTTAAAATTCTAAGGGTGTGTTATTATATCCATTGCTGATTAGTTCTGGTTTTAAATTTTTACACACATATATTTTTTAAAATCCTTTTTGGATTTTTTACACATAATTTATCTTTAGTCGAACTAATGTTTTATTTTGTAGTTGTACAACTTTTGACCAAATTATAGATTTGGAGTGAAAAATATATTAAAAAATTATACCAATTTGCTTTGCCTATGCCAAAATAATAACATTGATAAGAATATTATTAAAATCTGCCATACAAATCCAAAGAGATGAGAAAAATAAAACGAAACTTTATGATTAAATTATTCATACATGAGAAAACTTCTTCAACCAACTTTTTTGAATTGATACTGTATCTAACTTTCTGATAAAAAAAACAAAGGACAAGTTATGCGCGTGAGATATTTAGTATCCATTCATCGACACCGTTCGTTGTCGGATGAACGCAGTTATTTCACGAATGGATATCATCTATTTTTATTTCATCCCATTAACCGGATGAAAATCCATTCGACGACGTCCGTTTCACGACATCGCCAGCGTCCATTCACGAACGGGAGGGATGTGCTTCGGAAGTCCAACTACATGTAGTCCGGCAGCGCTTGCGTGGCAGGGAGGTGGTCAGGTAGGCGGGGGTCGGCGAAGAGTTCAAGGCACGGCTATAGGGGCACGGGTATGGGGGCGGCGGAGGGGCGGAAGGAAGGGAAGAATAGGCAGTGGCCAGTGTTTCTATTGCTGCCGTATTGTGACGCTGCGTTGCGGCGCTGGCTGTGTGCCAAAGCAAGCTCTCACTTGGGTTCAAATTCGGAGACAAGGACCCGGACCAGGTCCCCCTCACACATATCGACGTCGAATTCCATCTCCCGGACTCGCCCCGCTCTCTCTCCCTTTTTGAATTTCAAATCTGGTGACGACCGGATTTTGGGGTCGCGTGGGGGTGTGCAGGATGGTGTGAGTCAAGGTTTCTGCGACGAGACGCTGCGAGAATCTTTGTCTTGGCGGTCAATCGGAGGTTTGTGACGGTGATTATTGGTTTCGATTTTGTTTGTTTGTTTGTTTGTTTGTTTGTTTGTTTTGTTTTGTTTTGTTTTTGTTTTTGTTTTTTTTTTTTTTTTTTTCTGAATTTGGAACTAGGCTTTTTCTTCGCGTTCTTGCCGTTCAGATCATTCGATGGTGCCAATTCGTTTGATGGTTTTGATTTTGGTTTCTGTAAGGGGTGACTGGTGTGAGGAGCGTAGCAGCGCTTCTTGTGTTACTGTTAGAATCTGTTGTGCTTCCTTTCGATTAGGCAGCAAAGCTTTGCATCAATTGTAGATTGTGTCGTGAAAGTTAGTTGAGGTTGTGATGTTGCATGTTTTTTTACGTTGTGTGTTGAAGGTCCAGTTTTGTTCGATCTTGTTGTAAGTCGTCTTAGAGAGTTAGGGGTTGTTTCTTAGATGTCGTGAATTATACCTCAACGGTTTTTTTGTTGATGTCGAATTGGCTAGTATTCTGTAACCTAACCGGAGAGTATGATTTTTTTTGCAATTTAGCAGTTTTAAATCTGTGTGTTGCTCTGTAGCATCCAAGGAAGTGTCGCGTATGTGTCCGTATGCTTATGGCATGGCAATTCCTTATATTTCTATACTTACCCTCTTACTGGTAACAATGACTAACATAAAGGACTTCCTTGAGCAGGGGAGTCAAATGTGTGGAAGTGGAGGAGTCGTCTGTTACTCTCTTATTTTCGTTTGAGACGGGTTGTCTCTTCACCCTGTAATTTGCAAGACTCTGAAACGCAATTGGAGCAATATGGCGATGAGGGCGCTCCCCGTGGGCTCCCTGCACTCTATTATGGCAGCAGTTGGGATAGTCGACTCCGGAAACCATATGGCTGTGGTCGCCGTTTCCTTGTTCGTGACCTTGCTCTGCGCTTGCATTGTGCTGGGTCACATGATGGAGGAGTTTCAGTATATCAGCGAATCAGTCACCGCCATCTTTCTTGTAAGATTACTAGCAAGATGTGGATGCCAATTCTGTTGATCTGTTGAGCTTATTGTTGAGCTTGCAGCCTTCATTGTACTATCCTTCCGAGGTAGGTTATATCGAAGTGTGGAAATCTATTTCGGTAATCATATGTTCAGCTATTATGATTCGCACCCGAACTACGATTGCATTTTCTGCCCTAAATCACGAAATAGCATAGAAACTAGCGAACGTCTAAAGGCCCTCCATCGAGTGGTTTATGATCACGTCTGCGACGCAATTTTTTCTTCACCGGCGGTAACCTGTAAAGGTTAATACTTTTATATACATCAAGTAATCACCTTCAGGTTCTGTAGTATTCATGGACATGTGGGATGATTGAATCGTAAATCTGCATTATCCGGCCCTTTCAGCTGTCCTCTCTACACCACTCATATTCTACAGTCTTTCTCTAGTTCTCCGCAGTAATATATTTCCCACAGAAACGCCTGTTGTCGCTGATCATGAAATTAGCCTTTTGTAGAGAAGGGTTTCCTTATCGAATGAGGTGCTCATCAAGCGCTTAGTGCTTCTCCTTAAACTGCTCGTACTTCATTTCAGAGCTTAAATTCAGCAGTAGTACTTGCTATGAGAAAGACATCGCTTCATCACATGCTTTTCAACTGATCAGGCGTTTTCCATTTGTACCCGGCGAAGTGATATTAAGGACTATCATAGTCTGCCTCTCCATTTTTATTATCTGAAAAGGTTTTTGCTGCCTGTATATGCAATTGAGTTTTGTTTTGATGTGCATTAGAATTCTTTGTAGATTCTTCTCAGGGAGGATTTCAGTTTTGAAAGGCTTGTCGTGCGCTTGGAACTTTGATGTAAGAGATGCTTTTGTTGCTATCGATGACTTTACCTGCATTCTTCGGTTCTTTGTTCCCAAGGTGTAGATAACTTGGTAGGACCAAAGAAGACACTTGTCGTTTTCTATTTAAACAAGTATTCATCAATGCTGCAGGGTTTCTGTACAGGGATCGTTGTGCTGGTCACAAGCAGTGGAGCGAGCTCTCACGTTCTTCAATTTAATGAGGAGCTGTTTTTTATATATTTACTACCTCCTATTATTTTCAATGCTGGGTACGTTTTGCCCCGTCGGAGTTCAGATTTGCCTTTGAATTCACCGAACTTCTCTTGAGTAGTACATGTTTTCAATGACTAGGTTTCTTGCGGTGTGTGTGTGTGTGTCTGCATATATAGGATGACGCTATTATTCCCTCCCCATGTTCTACTGCTGAACACGTGATTGCGTGTACAGTTTCCAGGTCAAGAAGAAGTCGTTCTTCCGGAACTTTGTTGCCATTATGCTTTTTGGAGTAATTGGAGTTTTTATCTCTGTTGCTATTATTACAGCGGGTAGGTAGTTAATACCTCTGTAGCATAAGTTGAGCGAGGTTTACCCTTTACAAGAGTTTTTGGAAGGAGGCTTTGCTCATGCATGCTCAATTTGGAGGCAGCTGTGTTCTGCATGGATTTTATAATGTGTCTACGTTCGGTAGAAATCTGATTTTGTTGTCTGTTTTGTTTGCATCCGATTTGCGTTTGTTGTGTCAGTTGCGGCATTCGTTGGGCAGTCATGCATATGCCATGCTTTGGTAGGTCATGTAAACGGCAAGGAGAACAGTCCGAGTCATGGTGTATTGAAATCAATCTTCCTTTTCGTGTGCAGGTTGCAAGTTCATGTTTCCGAAGTTAGGACTGGAGAAACTGGTGATCGGCGATTACCTTGGTATGAACATCTTCCTTGCTAATCAGACTCTCTTGAAGTCTTGCTGCACAAAAATGTTTTCTGAGCCTTCCTTCACCTTACATCACGAGGACTGATTCGACTAATGTTACTATTGCAGCTCTTGGGACCATTTTCTCTGCAACGGACTCAGTTTGCGTCCTGCAAGTGGGTTGCTTTCTTTATCACCCTCATTGGAGCTGTTCTTTGCGAAGTTCATGGATATCTGTTAGAAAGTGATTGAGGAGTCGCCAATTTTTCATGAATTGATGGAGGTATTGCATTGCAGAAATTTACAAATAAGTATTCTTCTGATTTCTTGGTAGCTATGAGGTGTTGAGCTGGCCTTGTTGACGTCTTATTTTTTCATGCAGGTTCTTAATCAAGACGATTCACCTCTGCTGTATAGTCTTGTGTTCGGAGAAGGAGTTGTGAACGATGCTACCTCGGTAGTCTTATTCCGGGCTGTGCAGAAATTAGCTTTGAAACATTTCACGGGTATGGAGGTGCTTCAAATTTGTGGAAGCTTCTTGCAGCTCTTCTTCTCCAGTACTGTCCTGGGTGTTGCGGTGAGTGTATATTTCTTTATTGATTATGTCGCACATTCTGCGTTCCTGATTTGATTATGCGTGTTAAATGTCGATTGGCGATTTCTGAATGAGAAACATCATCCCAAAGCTTGAGCTGTCCGTAAATGACTCAATTGGGTTGATTCCCAGTTCAATAGTGGTTAATTTCGACCTGTTGGGGGGCAACAGCATTGAATGTTGTTCGCCGGGATGTAGTTTTGACACAGGTCGATGTACCCATGTCGTTTGCCGTCTATTAAGTTGATACTTTGTTAGATACGTAGCCAGTTAATCTGTTCCCTGAAATCTTTAAATTCCTGACAAGTGTCCCTTTGTTGTTTTTTCGCAGATTGGATTATTAAGTGCTTACATTATCAAGACTCTTTATCTTGCAAGGTCTCTGCTGTTCTTGGGTAGTCGTCTTTAGCTGAATTTGACAACCTTAGTACCTCTCTGATATGTGCCCTAAAGTTCTTACTAGAGCAGAACTAGTCTAAGGTCTTCACCTTGTTACCTGTTTATTTGATCAAAGACTACCGGTGCATTTTGCTGCAGGCATTCTACCGACCGTGAAATTGCACTAATGACAATCATGGCTTATCTGTCATACATCTTGGCCGAGGTCCCCCTTCCTCTCTCTCTCTCTCGACTATATGCATTGTTTGGATTAAAGAGTCTATTAGTTTCTTTTTAATTTCAATTCTATTTCAGCAGCGTTGTTGAAATTTAGTCGCTGATGTCTATTATTTTATTCCCTGCACGATGAACTCATTTCGTGTTTTCTGTGTATTGCATGCAGCTTTTCTACCTGAGTGGAATTCTTACCGTCTTCTTTTGTGGCATTGTAATGTCACACTACACCTGGCATAACGTCACTGAAAGCTCACGAGTAACTACCAAGTAGGCATCTCTTCTTTCAGTTGGGATGTCCTTTTCATCTAACAGAATTTTTATCTGTTGAATAGGCCACGTACAAGCAGCTCAAGATTTAGTCTATTTGCGCACGAAGCATCTGAGTAGTTATGTAATTTCATCCATGGTCACGGCATATCAGATTTATTTGCCACTGATAATTTGACTTAGACAAACAAGGCCATCTTAAAACAGTTAGTATTAGTTGTGTAATTTGGTTAAAGATCCTTCTTGCATTTTTGGAAGTCGTGGTACTGACTCAGTGCTGGGGGTACCGACAGGCATGGATTTGCAACCATGTCTTTTATTGCAGAGACGTTCATCTTCTTATACGTGGGAATGGATGCGTTGGACGTGGATAAATGGAATATGGTTCAAATAACGTGAGCCGATTTCTTTGGCTTTTATCTACTGGTTTTGGTTCACTTAATATTCTATTCGTTATTTTTGTCGGTTTTGTATGTTTTTTCGTTTTTCGAGATTTTGCTAATCACTTCCTCATTTTATTTTGGACATTCAGTGCAGGAAATTACTTCGGCCTCTTTATGACTCTCATAGTTTTAATCTTGGTCGGTCGAGCTGCTTTTGTGTTCCCGCTGTCTGCACTCTCCAACTATATGCGCAAGAGCAGTGATACGAAGATAACTTTCCGACAGCAGGTAATTTCCTCTTCGTACAATGTAATGTGTTAAGATTTTTCCGACTAGGTTTTCGCCTTATGCTGGACCTCATCGTGACTTGTCTAGTGCAGTGACTTTGTTTGTCGGTACCGTCGATGCTGTAGTTGCTCATGTTCAAACCAAGCTTATTGCATTTCTCTATGGTGTAATTTGGCTACCTGAAAGTGCTGAGTTTATCTATTTGTGGACCGCCATTCTACAGATTATGATCTGGTGGGCTGGATTGATGAGAGGAGCAGTGTCCATTGCCTTGGCATTTAATCAGGTTCGTATTTCTTTAATTCTTTGGTAGCAAGCGGTGCCCTACATGCGAGTCCCGCACTTGAAGCTTGTGTTAACTGTAACTTGATACTCTTAGTGTGTTTATAATCGCAGAAACGTCAGATTCTCTTGGACAAAATGCTTTCACGATGATTTTATTGCTCTTATGCTAATATCTGGAGTTCTGTTTTGTGATGTACTCCTTTAACAGTTTACGAGTTCTGGAGATGCAAAGAGTCCAGAGTATGCGGCAGCCATCACCATCACAATCGGCATTGTTCTGTTTAGCCTGACGGTAACACATGCTTTAACTCATGGCTCTTTCAGCGGATATACCTTATGCTGTTTCTATTCATACCAAATCGCACATTGAAGACATTTAGCTTTTATGCACAACACTAAAATAGTGTGAACCTAAGGATTACATGGACCTTGAAGTGTGGTTTTGAAACACCGGGATAATAGCTACTATGTTTCACTTCAAGTACAGCAGCGTTTTAAAACTGCTTTAATTTGCATTTTTGAGAAGTTTTCGTGCAGCGCTTTTCTCATATCCTGTCTGATGATGTAATTACTCACTATTAGTTTTGTTCCAGGTCTTCGGGACGGCCACAAAGCCATTGATGCACTGGGTGCTCCTTCCGACTTCAAGATCAGAATTAGGCGAATCTGAGCCAAACACCCCCAAGGATTTCGCTTTTGCTGATTTCCATGTTCCTCTACTGTTGGGATCCAGCCAGCAAACTGGGAGCCCCCATCCCGGCCCACGAAGAAGCTCGTTGGCTGTGCTTCTGTCTGCTCCCAGTAACATCATTCACGATGGATGGAGATCCTTTGATGATGGCTATATGCGACCTTTGTTTGGTGGCCGAGGTTTTGTACCCTACAACACCGACGTCCTAACAAACGCGGAGGATGATGCGGCGTATCCATTTCACTCCCCCTTTCACAGTCGCTCTTAATTTGCTTGACGTGGTGTGAATTCGGTGGTTTAGCCCTTCCTCATTTGCGTATCGCTCTCATCTGATCATGGAGGGATATGAAGCACATTCCCAATTGTGTTGTTGCTGAGTTGATTGTTTGAAACTAGTAATTGTTGAAACATATTTTGAAACACGTAGGAGCAGTATCTATTTCAACATGATTTGAACATATGACTTTATATCATTCTTTGTGAGTGGGAATTCGTATATCTTAGAGACATGTTTTCAGCTTGTCAACATTGTGTTTCCGGAGGTAGTGCCTATAAAAGCAAGAGGTTTAGTTCAGCTTGGTAAAATTTTAAAACAATATTTGAAGCGATTCTGTAAGTAGAAAAGTAGTTAGACATTTATGATTGTACAGGTTGTATGAGCTAGTTTGCGATTGTACTTTTATCTATTTAAATTACATGGAAGTTGGTTTTCACTCTTTATTGAGGTGTATCTCTTATCCTTTAGTATAGAAGTTTTCGGGATTCAAATTTGATTATGTGAGAATCATGTTTGTATGGTTCATTTGAACTTGATTCAATTGAAAATTATAGCCATTTCATGTGAGTAGTTTCTTTCCTCTGCAGAAAGGAGATTAAAATTTAACAGAATTGGAATATGGCTCTGTTATTGTACGAAGTCAAATTGGGTTCCGTGTTTAAAATTGTTGAGGTGACTTTGAATTGGAAGTTGCTTTTCCAAGCTTTTCGTTTTGGTTCTTTTTTTACTATTTATTTTCCTATTCATATTTCTGTTCTCTGTGAATTTGTTGTTACACATATACATTTATTAGAATGATTCTTAAAATCCTTTATTTTTCATACTAGCGTGCACATTCTGTAAATTTAACAATACTTAAACATGGTGTTTTTAAAGAAAAAATAAACCCATCATTTGTTTGTCAAATTAAAAGTAAATAGCTAAGTTTATTTTTAGAGACAAGTAAAATCATTAACTCCAAAAATCAACACTAAATTGAAAAAGTAAACATGATTGCCATCGTAATGATGAATTCACAACACTTTGGTCATTATGTTCATTGCTGTAATACCCAAGTTTCAAATTTGTTATATCATGCTTCAAAATATTGTATAAATTTTATTATAATCATTCTTGTTACCATTCAAGTTATTCAAATTTAAGAGTACTTACATCAATCTATTCAAGTTAATTATAATTGTATTAGGTCAACCATTTCTAAGACAATAAATAAAATTGTGTTGTTGAATAAGATTTACCAAATGTGTTGTGGAACCATTTATTTGTTTGTAATTTATCCCTACATAAATTAAACTTCCAAAGAAAGAAAAGAAATAATTTTATAACTTGTCTATTGATACAACTGATATTGTTTGGTTTTACAAATTTTTGTTTAGCTAGATTTGTCAATAACCATTTAATTTCTTATTTTATAACTTCTAAAATTAGGCTGCCCAACAGGTTGCAAATTGATGCTTTAAAGTTTTTAGGACAAGAATTAATGTTTTTAAGTTTTTAAGGAAAAAAATGAAATTTATTGTTTGATATGTGCCACTTTAATACAAACCAATTTTTCAAAGATGTTCATAATCTTGTATTTAAATTTGATAAACTATTTTTTTCAATTAACTAATTTAAATTAAATAAATTTTATCTTCAATCAAGGAACAAAATTTATTGTATGTTGCTTTACAACTTCTATTATTTGTTTTAATTCATTTGGTAGCATAATTGGTTACTTATATGAAATACAAACTTCTTAATGTTGGACATATAGAAGATCCAAAAGATTTTTATTCTTTTTTGTAGTATAGAACAATTAAAAATTTACTAAGAAATCTTGATATCATTTACTTTTTTAAAAAAAGAAAGTAAAAGAATATAGTAGTAAGTTGGTTTTAGAGAGATTTTCCAAACGCTTCTACTTCATCCATAACATATTTTACAATTTTTCTTTTGTCGTCTAATCTGATATGTTAGAGCAAAGATTACTTTGTTGCATGGATTTGTTGTATTTAATTAATACATCCTTCCAAACCCTATAGCTCTAATTAGATATATCAATTTTAAAGTATTACTTGAATTTCATCTTATTTTGACCAATACAAATTATTTAGTGAATTAGATTTAAAAAATAGAATATTAAAAGAAAGAAAGAAGTTCTTTGTTATGTAGATTTGGTCCTATACATAAATATTTGCATTAAAAGATAAGGTTCTAAAAATAAAACAAAATAAATAATAATCAAGCTTATCATATACTTAGAATAATATGTTTAAAGTAAAAAATGTGTTTATTTTTTAAATGTAAAGTAAATCTTCTAATTAGGTTCATTTTCATCATTATTTCAAATATATGATACCAAGAAAATATTGAATCAAATTTTCACAACTTAAAGCAAAATTATATGATGATTTAGTATTTTTTTTTTATTTTTTTTTTGTTATTTTATCATATTTTTAGGTTAATATATTTTTAAAATACAAAAATTATAGTTCTATATATATATGTATATATATATATTTATGAAATTTTAAAATGCATAGAGTTTAAGTTTCCTAATAGAGTTATTTATTTTCAATTCTCAAATTCATATATATTACTTGTTTTAAATAAGTTCACTTTGATTTACAACAAAGCCTCTCTCTATCATCTTTCAATTGAAGTATATTTCTAAAGCCATATACAAAAGCACATATTTGTGTTATTTACAACCTCTTCTATTAATGTGATAGTTAGATTCTATTGTTTTGAAGTAGAATACTCGGCTCAAGATTCAAACAATGGCCTTCAATGAGTTAAGACAAACATATCACCATTCATGAGAGACACAAATATTATTGTTATATCTATAGACAACAACATTTGCTCATATAGAGTTCCTCTTTCTATGCATCTTGAGTTGGCCGTGCAAAACTTCTATCATGCTACGGCAAAAGAAAAGTTATTCTAGTTAGTCAAGAAAATATACTTGTACAGAAAAGTCCTTTAATACACATTGTGAACTCTAATTAACATTGCTTCAATGAATCCAAGGTGGAAACATTTGATTTTCTTTTTGTTGAAAAAAATAAGTGTTTCAAATCTTACAATATTTTTAGAATTATATGTACATATATATATATATATATATATATATATATATCTTATTATATTTTTATTACACTTACTAAGTATAGGATTTAATTACAACTTCATTTAAGGTGATACAAGATATATCTAATATTATATTACATTATTATTATAATATTGATATTTTAAATATTTTTAGTAATAATATAATTATCAAAGATATTTTTAAATTATTAAAAAATATCTTATTTAAACACATAAGTTTTTGGAAAAAATCACAATATATTATTTAAAAAGAAATCATAGTTAATATCTTATAAAGAGTTGATAAGTTTTTTAAAAAATTTCAAATATATATCTATATATATATATTGAAATTTATATTTTTTTAATTTTTAATATATATAATTCTTATATAATTTCTAAATGAGCCTAAAAATCCTAAGAAGAAAGGTAACCTAGAATTCAATGTTTTTCTATAACATAATTATTTTTGTCTTTTAGAATTTTTGTTAGACTTATCTCAAGATATTGATTAAAAAAAAATTTAAGAATATGTTTATTTTTATTATTATTATCATTACCAATAATAAAAATAAACCATTAATTACAACTATTTGTTAGTTTTATTATTAATATTATTTTTTTCCATAAATGTTAGAATCAGGATATAAATTAACATGTTTGTATCTATTATATTGAATAATAAATTTATCTATTACATGAATAATTTTTAAATTACAATGTATTTAAACTCCAAAGCTTCTAAAAGAAGATAATATTTTCATCAAGGAGAAGATCTTTATATAACTTTTAAATCATAGTCTTTTAAATTGAACATCTAAATGTAAAAGATCTCTTCAATGATTTGCATTAAGATGTTCCTCACAAAGCCAAAAAAGGGCCCATCTCTATCTATATATATCTAAATACAATGTAAATCTTATATACTATAAATATAATGATAACTTTGGGCAATTTTTTTTTTATTGAGTCAAATTTTTAGTTGCATTTACAATATATAAGATTTACATCCAAATTATTTTTTGACATATTAAAAACTTAAACATCTTCATCACATATATAAAATACATATAAATGTAAGAAAGAGGCATTTCACAATCGAAGTGCCCAATCACGGAATGCATGTGCACCACCAACACCCTCACCCATTCACACCGTGTGAACACACGAAATTGTCCTTGAGAAAGGGGGGGGGGGGTTGAAAAAGGCGAAAGGTACTTTGGGCGAGAAAGCAAAAGGGAATAGAGCGGGGGGCATTGTGTGGCCCTACTGGCTTTCAAACGTTTTCCTGGGACTCTTCTGGAAGCCCGCTAGCCCTAAATTGCTCCCTCTCGTTCCCCCCTCTCGTTGGTCCCGAGCTCCAAGACCATGCTCTTGGTCGCAGCAGAAGGAGGAATATCGCAATCGCCACCACCACCACGAGGAAGCCGAAGAAGAAAAAGAAGAAGCAGAGGGAGAAGAAGACGGAGCGGAGGTGAAGAAGAAGAAGGAGGAGAAGAGCTTCATACCTGGAGCTTGTGTGGAAGGGGCGTGCATTCAGCAGCTGAGAAGGACTCGGGATTGCGTGAATTCCATCACGACCATGACGCGCTCTCTGTTTTCGTTTCGCGAACCTCACGATGAATTACAACCGAAGCCGTGTGTTGACCACCGGCGGAGCTCGTAGTGATTGCGCACACGTTTTTGGGAACTGGTGTGTGGAGGAGAAGGATGAAGGGAATTTGTTGTGATGAGAATCTTGAGCCAGTCGAGTCGTGAGAGGCGCGGGGTTTCGTTCTAGGTTGTGAGTTGCCTGGCTTTGGGAGTGTTTTGTCCGACGCAGGGTTTGAATTTAGGTTCCGTTGTGGAATTTGGTGTAATTAGAGTCATGCAGCGTGGAATCGCAGGGGTGAGGTGGTCGCTCTGGACGTGGTAGTTGTGACTTGTGGCACGGAGGTTTAATGGCGGTTCCAGTTGCTAGTTGATTCTGTATCCGTTTGGTGCAATCACTACGAGGGCTTGTTATGGCTTGGCTTGGAATGGTGGACGTTCCACATGTATCTTCTCATGTTCCACCTTCGCCTGTGTTGAAGCCGGAATTTCGCTCTCGTTGCAGCGCTGGGCAAGTGCCTGCCTCCTCCAATGCTGCTTCTTTCCTCCAGAATCTCCCCCGAGCTCTTCATCTTACCAATTCAGAGAGAAGCCGCTTCAGGGGTACAAAAACTCGAGACTCAGAGGTTACTGCAAGTTTGAAGTGCTGCACTTCGTGCCAGAATAGGTGTGGGACTCTTGGCAACCGGTGCATTGCTCGACGAGGTCGGATCAATTATGACAGGGTTATTCCTCGAGTTGAAGGTTTGGGAAGGGGAGATCCAAGCAGCTGGCCTCTTTCAGGTCAATGCTGCATTTTGTCGAGTTTTTCCAAGCAACTCCCAAGCTCGAGAAGACATTCGAAACCGAGAGTGAGGGGGAATTTTGAAGTGAGGTGTGAGAGTGATCATGCTGCCGCAAACGGTTTCATACGTGATGCTATCTTGTACGATGAGGCTGGGGTAGCTCTCGGCGAAGGAGGAGTCGATGGAGCTGGGGCAGAGAGTATGTCTCAAATCTCACTTGAAAATTCTCTCTTGGGTAGTAATGTCGATGACGGCAACAGGAGGCCACAAATCAACGAAGGTTTGTAGACAACTCTGTCTCTCAAACTTGAGAATTTTTGAGCTGGTAGTCCTTCGTGTTTTGAGTGTTACATGTTGATGGTTGTTGATCACCTTGTCATCCCGTTCTTCTCACTGTCCCATTTTGGTGTGCCTTTCCTGGTATGTGAAGCATGACGGAATCCTTCGAAGTAATTAGTGTTACCTCTATGCCTCTGACGTTCTCTTTACAGTGTACGAAGTGCGTTAGTTTTCATATGACCAATGGTATTAGTGTTTACAGATAAATTAACAGAACTGCAGATGGGTGTTAATTAAATAATGTTACTTGAGTTTCACAATCTAGAAGGCGGTTAGCTATTCCCGTCGCTTGTGTAGGGTATAGATTGGATTCTCCCTGCTGTAACTCGAGATACGTTAGTCTGTCAACACTGCGTTGTCAACACGTCTTGATGGAGTGGTTTCTATTGAGAACTTATAACATTGGCCACATCTACATCCTCGAGGAAAACAGGGAATCGGTGATTTTTTTCGTACCCTTACTATCATGTGACAACTTTCCTTCTGTCATTACATTCATGCAGGCGATGACGGTAGAAGCCCAGTGGCGGAAAACGACTCTCCAATTGCAGCATTAAAGGATTCGTTAAGGATTGCAAAGGATCAATTAGAATTTGCTCGAGCTAGTAGTAAAACGCTCGAAGCAAAAGCTCAAGAGTGTGCTGAGAAGGCGCTGGCTTTGCATGACCAAGCAACTTCTGCAAGGTTGGCTGCAGTTTCTACTTTGGCCTCCATTCAAAGTGTTCTTGAGAGGGAATTAAAAGCAGAGGAAAATGTCGCAGCTGCTGGGGCTAGGGTTCTTGCCGCTCAAGAAAAGTTCACAAGAGCAGAGAAGGCTTTCCAAGTGGCTCGTTGGAAGCTCGAGCCGCCAGGTACCTCTCTTGACGACTTGTCTTTAGAGATTCCAGAGGAGTATTTGCAGCTGCAAGTAGAACCCACTAATGATGAAGTGAATGATCAAGCAAGTTCTGCTTCATCGGAAGCTGAACTGCTCGAGAATTCTAAGCTAGTTAGCTGTGAAGGTGATGAGAAGAAACCGAGAGAGGGTAACAACAAAGGTAAAAGTGTGAGGGAGACTGACGCTCGCAAAGAATATCTAGCCATGGAGTCTGCAAGGATGGACTTTGTCGCTAGTGAAGCTGCCCTTGCCGAATGTGAAGCAGAGCTTGCCCAAATTCAGACAGTGAAGATGGAGCTTCAAAAAGAAGCATTGCGTAGAAGTGAGCTATCCCAAGTGGCTGAAGATGCTGCAGTATTAGCAGATGAAGATGTGGCTTCTGCTATGACTAGTGCAGAAGAAGCCGTTGCTTTGGAGATGGAAGCCTTAAAACGTGTGAGTGATGCTGAGATCGTCCTTCGTAAGGTAGAGGCGTTTGCAGAAGAAGCTGCTAGGGCACTTACCAAGACCGAAGCGTCGGGAGAAGAAGTTTTTAAAACACATCAGAACGCAGAAACGTCAGGCGAAGAGGCTTCGCAGACGCCTGAACTTGCAGCTGCTGGAACTGAACAGCTTGATTTTCAAGTTGCTCAGGCAAACGATGAAACGTCCGTTACATCGGAATCCTGGATCAGTGTAGAAGAAGAGAAAATAGCTCCAGAGAAATCAGGAGAAGAGGTGGGCCTCCACAAGTGCATGCATTCATAATCCTTGCCACTTGCATCAATATTTTGGATTTGACTTCGTTTACAAGTTCTTATTTTTATATTAAGATGCTCCACTCTGTTTACAGTTTGTGGAGGTGTCAGACCAGATGGGAGATACAGACGCAGGGACTGACTTCTTGAAGCGAGAGAATGCAATGGAGTCTTCCATTGAATCGGAAAAATTGGACAAAGAACCTCAACCCGATCAAATGTTGGTCGATGTGAATCCCAAACATGAGGAACCGAAATCTTCACCAACTAAAAGAGCAGAGAGCACAACCAATGAATCCTCGGGGCCAAAGTCTTTAACAAAGAAATCTTCCCGTTTTTTTCCAGCTTCCTATTTTTCTTCTGGTGACGAAGCGGAGTTTTCTCCATCGATGGTCTTCTCTAATTTCGCGGCTGCGTTGAAGGAACAGCTTGTGAAAGTAACGATTGGGATGGCTTTACTGATTGCTGGGTATGCATATAATTTTGAAATTTACCTCATTTGTTGCCATGTTGTGAAAGTTCAAGCGCACTGACTTCTTTTCATCTTTCCATTGGCATGTTATAGTCAAGCATTCGTGAAGTACTACAGCTATCCTTGCTGTCTCTCGCAGGGGATACTATCTCAATAATCAATTGGAAAAGCGAGCGCTGCTGATGCAACCACCAGAAGTAACCAGCACCCAAGAACTCAAAACAACTACGAAGCCTCTAGTTTCTGAGATTCGGAAAATTTCTCGGCGAGTGAAGCAAGTGATACTGAAACTGCCTCATCAAGAGGTGAATAATGGTTTTGTTATTGTTTACACGCCCTTCATTATCCCCACTTTGTGCATAAGGACACGACTTTGAACACTCAGCATCACCTCAATCTCTCCAGTAATCATGTACTTTGTTTCAAGATCATTTTAACCGCTACATATGGAGATGGTGACGGCCCTGGGTTTTCTAGGAGATGTTGACATTGTACTGAATTGGCTGTAGGTAAATGAGGATGAGGCTTCATTGTTCGATGTTCTGTGGCTGCTCCTAGCGAGTGTTGTATTTGTACCTATTTTCCAGAGACTTCCAGGAGGTGGGATGAGTTCCTCCAACAGCTTCATTCTCCTCATGCTCTATCACGAATCACCATAAACTTTAGTTAGAACGTCATGATTGGTTCATGTTATGTATATTCGCGATTTGATGCGGGATTTATACTTGTGTAATCGGTATATGATTAGAGAACTAGTTTGCTATTATTACTATTCTTGCCGCAGTCCTGATGTTGGAATAAATCCAATGTGGATTAGGACTTAGGTGTCTGTTCATCCTTGCTGAAGTTGTGGTCATTTTTTTCTGAATGCTTCCTCTCACAAAAAGGATTCCAGAGGATCTTTTCAGTCCGCTTAGCATCAAGAGCATCGGATTTGTGAAATCCTTTCTCCTCAGATTGCATTCTGATAGGTTGGTAGTAGTCTTAGTTGAATGCATTAATGAGTTTTACCTGTGCACAAATATCCATGCTTATTTAGTGAAAATTAGCCTAGAAGTACTTGCACAAAGATTCGTACTTTATTGTTTGCTGTTGAGCGTTTCTCGGCATTTGGGTAGTGCAGGTAGTCCTGTGCTTGGTTACCTTGCTGCTGGGGTATTAATTGGACCATATGCTCTGTCGATCATCAAAAATATTCACGGCACAAGGATGATAGCCGAGTTTGGAGTTGTGTTCCTACTCTTCAATATAGGGCTTGAGGTACTAATGTTATCATTTCTCAAAGTTTGCACGATGTTTAAGTGATTTAAAGTCTTTTGCATTTTTTTGGGTGCTTTATTTGAAAATTCCAGCTACCCACTGTGAATTGTCAGCTAAGTAGAGGTTGAAGTTGCCTCCTCAGTGATGGAATTTCAGCAGAAGTACATGCGCTCATGTTTGGTGCATATGTTTCTAACTATTCACCTATCAAATGCAGCTGTCTGTGGAGAGATTGACTTCAATGAAGAAATACGTCTTTGGTTTTGGATCTATCCAGGTTAGCATCCATACCTATTGTTTTACCTTCACTGAGAGATTATGATTTTGCTACACCATATCGCGACACTAATCTCTGTTTTGTATTTTATCCATTTCTGTATTCTATGACTTGATGTTTCAACTCGAACAAATCTAAGTTGAGACACTTCACATGTAAACAGGTGCTGGTTACAGCTTTGGTTATTGGAGCTTTCGCACATGTTGCTTGTGGTTTTTCAGGGCCAGCTGCAATAGTCATTGGCAATGGTTTGGCTCTCTCATCTACAGCAGTAGTGCTTCAGGTTTGACACCCTTACTCAGCCATCAACTTTTCAATGTGTGGTATGAAGGATGTGTACTCATTTACGGAAGATTAATTCTCCTTGTGGTATGATGTTTAGGTTTTGCAAGAACGAGGAGAGAACACATCTCGACATGGACGAGCTACTTTCTCCGTTCTACTTTTCCAGGTTCGTATTTCTTTTCTTCATGGAACTTAATGTCTGAAATTTTCTCGGTACATTGTAGGTTGATGCTTGCTGAACAAGCTGTTTCATTTAACAGAACATCAACTTGATATATTTAATTTTTATCGCTGAAATGGTTATTTTAGGTTTCTTTTTACCACGCTCCTAATTGGTGAACACAATTTCGAGCTCCAGCTCTAACGAATTTGGTCATTTCGAGTTTGATGCCCCTCCTCTTGGACGTTAAGTATGGATTTTGTACTGTACAGGACCTTGCGGTGGTGGTTCTTCTCATCTTGATTCCTCTCCTGTCACCGAACTCTTCTAAAGGAGGGGTGAGTGTCAGCATTTTCTAAAACATAAATTTCTGTTATTTTTAATCATATGCGTCAACAAAGTTTTTTATTTCAACAAACTGGGAAATGTTAGCGCCTTTTGTCTCCCTGCACGCAATTTCTCAAAATACCGTTGTGTTTGTGCGAACATCTACATCTGGCCTTTCGAATGCTTCTGATATGATTAAACATGTATTGTGTTCCCAAAATACAACAGGGCTTAACCAGTTTATGATTTGTTGCAGGTGGGCATCCAAGCTATTGCTGAGGCTTTAGGAATTGCAGCAGTAAAGGCTGTTGTGGCTATCACTGGTATTATTGCTGGTGGGCGCCTGGTATGTGTACATAATACTTTCCATTGGGATTGCGTTTTTGCATTTTTGTGTTTTTAATGTCATTTGACTTCCCTTCTATTATCTGAATTTAGTCATGAAGTTCTTGATTGTCAAGAAATCAATGCCTCCCTGCTTCCCATGCATCATTGTTTTAAACTGAATGCGAACTAGTACATGGCATGATCAGTGGTCCCTCTTGAAAATTGCAGCTGCTGCGTCCCGTTTATAAGCGTATGGCAGAAAATCACAATGCAGAAATATTTGCCGCCAACACTCTTTTGGTGGTGCTGGGCACAAGTGTCATGACAGCTCGGGTACACTTCAACGTTTTCTTTCTTAGCTTGTTAATTTGTTCACAAGGGCACATAAAGCGTTTTCGTGATGTTCATTCAGTGTGGTTTTGATTCAATGCTAATCTTTTCTCCATGAGCAGGCTGGGTTGTCTATGGCTTTGGGGGCTTTCCTTGCGGGCTTACTCCTGGCAGAAACTGAATTTGCATTACAAGTGGAGTCGGACATTGCGCCTTATAGAGGCTTGTTATTGGGTCTCTTCTTTATGACGGTTAGTATGCTCATGGTGCACGTAGAGGTAGTAGAGGAATGGAGAGTTTCATTTCCTGTTTCTTGTCTTTTCTTCTAAGTACATATGGTAACACGTGCAATTAAACGATCGGCCGGATTCATCTTATTTCAAGTATCTAACCCGTATCTGCAGTGTTATGGCAACACTAGAGCTCAAGTGCCTACCTACCTTTTGCAGGTTGGAATGTCTATAGATTCACAACTCTTTATCAACAGATTTCCAACAATTTTAGGGTCACTTATGCTGCTTATAGGAGGCAAGACACTGTTGGTCACTGGTGTCGGACGATTTTTCGGACTGTCAACTGTAGCAGCTGCAAGGGCTGGGTTGCTTCTTGCTCCAGGTGGTGAATTTGCGTTTGTAGCATTTGGAGAAGCTGTGAATCAGGCAAGTTTGTGCAATCTGGAATTAAATCTTGTATTCATAAATGAATTTTCTTGTACAACCTACTTCGTTTTGAAGATAGTATCGTTCGTTTTTTCTCTGCAGTTATCCGCATCCTGTTCTACAAGTGTTTGAACTTGTTCACTGTTGTAACAGATCATATATATATATATATATATATATATATATATGTGTGTGTGTGTGTGTGTCTGTCTGTTTGTTGAATGCTCGACATATATTTGAGCAAATTGTACGGTGTCATCTCAGCTCATATCTCGAGGTTTTGTTATGTATTGGAATGTGAATGGGATCAACAGTGATTTCCTGGAACTGAAGTATCTCTGGTTTTTCTCCAGGGTATCATGAGTAATCAACTATCTTCGTTGCTCTTTCTAGTCGTGGGTCTGTCCATGGCCATCACTCCATGGTTAGCTGCTGGTGGACAGCTTCTTGCATCCCGGTTTGATCAACAAGATGTTCGTAGTTTGTTGCCAGCTGAGAGTGAGGTGGGTTACTCAAATTCTCAAATTTACGTACCCTTAACTACATTATTTAATAGCACGTTCATTGTTAACATGTCCAACGTTTGTTGCTTGCAGACGGATGATCTGCAAGGTCACATTCTCATTTGCGGATTCGGGCGGGTTGGTCAGGTATATTACGAGAACTTCACTGGTGTTTTCAAGGTTGACTAACGTAATTGTATTAAATATTCTGGGTACCTTGGATGGATTACGGTCACCTTTGACATGTGTTCTATTTACACATTCTCTGTTTTTTGTGTGTTGCAGATTATTGCTCAGCTGTTGTCCGAACGGTTAATTCCTTTTGTAGCTCTAGATGTGCGAAGGTGCATTTCAATGACTAATTGTTTGTCGATGATTCTTCACAAAAGTTTGTCCCATTAATGAACAAAGACGAAGTAATGTTTTAATTAGAATCATTAATCTTTGTGTTCTTAACATGTTCAGGATTATAGTAGCTTTGGGTCTCAACACTAGGGTTTGATTTTTGCGTACGATTTGGTTGGAAATCTCTCATATATTGGTGAAGTGGCTTTGCTGCGCAGTGAACGAGTTAGTGTTGGGCGTGCACTCGATCTACCCGTGTACTTCGGTGATGCCGGCAGTAAAGAGGTTCAAATTCGATTCTTGTGTGGCTGAGATAAAGAGCTATTTTGATGCTTGAAAGATCGTTCTTACAATTAGTAACAAGTGTTGAAGTTTGTTTAGTTGCGTTTTCTGCTCCAAGGAAATATCTTACTGAGGACTCTGGCCTGCAGGTCTTACACAAAGTCGGTGCAGAAAGAGCTGCAGCCGCAGTCCTTACGTTAGATACTCCAGGAGCGAATTATCGAACTGTATTTGCATTGACCAAGAACTTTCCACATGTGAAAACTTTCGTACGTGCCCATGATGTAGAGCACGGACTCAATCTTGAGAAGGCTGGTGCTACAGCGGTAAGTTGCTGAAAGCTTTCGAAAGTCATTATGCAGCTGAAGAGTTCTGTTATTCAGGATTTGCAGTTGCCAGGTTGTGGATCTTATAATTTCGTTCCAATTTATGTTACGATATGTCGAAGTTGGTTCACTGAAACCACTGGTTGTGCGCTTCAGGTTGTTCCTGAAACCTTGGAGCCCAGCTTACAACTTGCAGCTGCTGTTCTTTCACAGGTGCTGATTCATGGATCCAGCTGTAAAACTAAATGTTTTACTTGTTCTAATTTTAAACTCGATCATTTTTCCTCATTTGAAGTGTATTTTGTGGATGCTGTTCCTTGATGGAGTGAGCTATGTAAGACGATTCAGTGTATTGAAAATCTGTTAGCAGTTTCAGGACTTGACTCCCCATTTCCACAATCTAAATTTATTCTGAGGTTTTAAACATCTGCACGGCTTTGCAGGTGAAGTTGCCAGCCGCAGAAATCGCTGCAGCCATCGACGAATTCCGGTCCAACCACTTGTCAGAACTTAGTGAGGTGTGTTTCTTTTACTTGCTTTTACTCTCAAACAGAGACCTCTAATCAAGCGGAAACAAATCACGTGCTTTGTGCGTAAGCTGATGATTTGTGCTCATGTATTTCAACAGCTGTCAGAGACTAGGGGAACCTCCCTAGGGTATGGGTTTTCTCGAATCATGATGAAAAGTAAGATTCAGCCACCTGAAGTACAAACCAGACTTGGGATAGACGATGGAGTAAGCGACTGGAGACCTGAGGGTAGTGTTTTGCCATGAGAAAATTTCGACAGGTCTAGACCTCGACCATTACCTTAGAATCATGATTACAATTTTTTTTACATCAGGCCTAAGAATGTACCATTAGACAGGAGCTCAATTTTCGAGTTAAATCTCACCCTTCCAATTATTTCAAAGTAATTCAACAGATGATATGACTAGGAATATTCTGCCACGATCTGTGCACCATAAGAAATGCAACGGTGATGTCTACAGCCATATAACATGAGTCAATATCTCCTCAAATTCGTTATGTGTTTTGTGCTCTATCAATTGCCTGTGTATTATGAAGTGCTACTTATCATGATGTCGAATACAAATCTCACGAATCGGCTACTAGCAGGAGCCTTGTATTGACATAATTGATCTATTGAATCTTACATACCACAAAGCACTTTTAACTGCCTAAAGTTAACTAACATTATGAGTAAGTTGCATCGCAAAAATTAAATGATGTTTAAGTTTATATATATATATATATATATAATTATTTTTTTTAATTAGCTGAGGTACAACAATTTGGTATACATTTTGAATAATATATTCACAATTGGTTCTATACACATAATTATTGTACATTACACACATTTAGCTTGTCTTTATAATCTATCATTGAAGATTGCTAATTAACTACAATAATTGTTCTAAGAACTTGTGTGTTAACAAATTATGTGATAAGTGAAGTATGAACTTCCTAAAAAATCATATTATATCTAATTTGTGCATTTTTTGTGCCATATTAAATTTTATTCTTCATTTTTTTTAGTGAAATAGATAAGTATGACTTTTAGATATGTTTTATATTTTTTGAGATTTTTTTTACTGAGAAAAAATTCATTACGTTTTTTGTATAAATTTTTAGAATTTAAATAACCAATTTGAGCTAAAACTAAGTGTGCGTGTAATTTTTTCTAATTATTTTATTATTTATTCAGATAAGTTCTAATTTGCATATTTTAGTCAAGCATTGTACCATGTTTTAGCTGATTTAAAATAATTTAAAATATATATTTGTGAAAATTTTATTAAACTTTAGTTGGAATTTAAAACAATAATAGGTATATCATTTTACACAATAATGACTATACTTGGGAAGGATGAATATAGATAACATATGTTTATACAATTCAAGACTTTAAATAAGTTCCAAATGTTTTAGCCTATTTACTCTAGTAGCCTAAAACTAATGAGCTTGTTTACATATTTTTACCTTAAAATGAGATTAGATATGTGATGCTTGCTATAATGCCTTGACCAATATTGCCATATTAATTCAAATCCAAATCGGCATCTATAGTAAGAATCTCTCCCATGTTTCTTGCAATAGTCTCCATGTTGTGTTATGCTCCCCAATTTTATTAATATAATATGTAAAGAAAGACTCTAACATTGCTTATTATCTCTCAAACTCATTAAACAAACAAGTAGTGGTTTGTCTAAATGTCATCAAATAGATAATAATCCATTGGATAATATTTATCTACAAATTATAAATCTAAGGATAGTTTTATTAAACTAGCTACATACTTATTTGAAGATAAAATAAATTTAAATAATAAATTTATTAAATGAATGTGTAAAAAAATATGAATATATATATATATATATATATATATATAAATTTTATAAAAAAACAAAAAACCAAATTTAATAAGTTAAATCAAATTTTAGATTCAATTATCATTATTATTTAGTTAAAAAATATAGTAGCAAATAATTATTTATTTATTTGTAAGTTGATCAATCAATATTTTTTCATTGAGTAATTTTTATTAAAAAATCTAACAAATGATCAATATAAAATTTAAAATTTATAAAGAATCAACTTATTATATTCCCAAATTTATTTTTCTAATTTACATCGGCCTCTTTCATATACAACTATTCTATTACAACGGATTTTTCACAAAGTTCTTGTAAGTTTAAAACTATGTTAAAATAATGATATATATTGAACAAAAACATATTTTTGTTGCTAAAAAATATCATGTGTATTAAAAAGTATATATATATATATATATATACATACACGCACACATTTAGTTTATCAATACATATGCTTTTTTAATGTATGGCGCCCATGTATTTGTCTTATATTAACTAATCAAGTATCCAAAAAAATATACTAATAAAAGTTATTAAACATACAAGTAAAAATCAATGCATTTAAACTTGGTAAGTTAAAATATAGCAAAGTAAAATTTATGTTTTTTCCTATTGAAGATGTGTAGTTTCCTATTCAAAAAGCTTTTTGAAGCCAATGATATTGTTTGGAGTGCTACACCGCCTCCAGTAAGAAATTTGTTGGACTTCAGTAGTCTTGTCTCATTAATAGCTTATCAAGGAGAAATTGTGTTCATAACTTAAATATCATAAGTTAGCTTTACTCATATCCTTATTACTATTAATATATCAACATATTAATAAGTAAGTTGAACATGATATTATAATATTAATATAATCATTTCAAAATATTAATATTAATAAAAATAAGATATGACTATAATATTTATAATAATTTTAAAAATTCTAACATGTACATGAACACATCTCAACTTGACATATGAAATGAACATTAACTTATCATACCATAACTTAACTGCCATAACATAGGACACATTTTTTAATGACATTATGAAGAAAATAAATATATGTTGTTTTAAAGATGTCTTTAATTAGAAGGGCTAATGATAAGATAAAATAAAATAATAACCAATTTAGACTTCTATCAACAAAGTTATTGAGTAATGAATATCTCCAAAATAAAACACACAAAGTATGCAAAGTAACGTAACACAGGCACAGAGAAGCATTCCACCAGAAATGTGAATCTACGACAAGAGTAGATGTAGCAACATCTTCACCATCCTTCATTAGGTGCCACGTAGGGTCGGTAGCCCTCCCTTACCGAGCCTCAGGTTCGGGGAAATTCAAACTGGGGGGGGGAGAGTGCCCGCCATCGCCGGAGCAGGGCCAGCTTCGGCAAAGCGAGAGGCGGGAGTGGAGCTTTTTGGACTTCGAATTTGCTCTGCTTCGTTTTTGCTTCGATTCCAACGTCTCGCAGTGTGCTGGGGCATCATCCCCTTTACGATTGAATGCGCACAAGAGCTCAAGCGCGAGGTCACCATGAGGACTCCTTTGAAGGATCGGGTGCAGTCGCCCGGGTACGCCCTTTTGCTCACGCCCAACGACGATGAGGAGGAGCGTGCGCAGGTGCGCAGAGCCAGAGCAGCCGCGCTGCGTCGCAAGTCCGGCATCGGCGGTGACATCTTGGCGGCCTTCTCCTCCGTGGCCGCACCCGAGGAGTCCAGTGTGCTCAGTCGGGAGCATATCCTGGAGCTCCACAACAATTGTATCAAGCTCGCCGCGGAGAATGTATGTAACCCCTGGTGAAATGCACCGTCGTCCTGTTAAATTTGTCCGTTTGATTATGGTGCCTGCAATGCGCTTCTTTAAGAGCACGTCTTGAAGCTTCACTACCGGAGCCTTCAGTCTGCCGCGCACAATGTGTGTCTGCCTGGGGAAATCAATTAAAAAGTCGGTCTGTTTGGTTTTTCTGCTGGATTACCTCTATCATGTCTTCTAGGACTATTTTATGCTTGTATATGAACTTGATATTTAATGGAAAGTTTCATGTTAATGATTAGTCTTTATTTTGATGCTTAGATATTTGCCTCAGAGCAGATGTGCGTATTGTGGAGGCCGTTGTTGCCTTTTTTGACGGAATCACTTATAGCTGCATATAGGAAGTGCCACACCCATGTTTACTTTGTGATGTTATTTATTTATTTATTTTATTATTATTATTTTTTTTTCTCTTGGGCGTGTGAGATATTAGTTTGGCAGGTGCTTGGTCCGACCTGAACGGTGTGTTGCTATGCGATCAAGGTTGTGTGAGTTGAATTTAATTAGATTATTGGCAACCCTTTGCTTGTTTTGGGTCTGAGGCGACTAAGCACCGGTAACCGGTGTTTGGATTTTTGGATGCGTGCAGAAAATCACGCAGCGCAATACCTGGGATCTGAAGTTGATCGATCACCTTAGTGCTCTTGTTCAAGGAGATGATGATGAAGATGATCAAACCAACTTTCAGAAGGCAAGTTCTTCTCATTTACAATTTCATTTCGTTCTTTGCAATGATTTTGAGATGCGTGTAGAAAATGCATTTCTAACCTTTTCGTCGAGAGCATTGGGATGTTGGTGATCTTAAACTTAACTTGAAGCAGACCCTCCAGTGTGATAACTTGTCCATTATGGAATTGTATTCCTGTCTTTGCATTTTAAATATTTAACAAGTGGTCAATGTACGTGATGTTACTATTACAGTCTGAATAAGGCTTTGACAGGTGATTCCTGGATACTGTTGCAGGCGAGCTGCACGTTGGAAGCAGGTGTCAAAATTTATTCTACGAGAGTGGATTCGGTGCATTCCGAGACATACAAAGTGCTGGGTGGTCTTAACCGTACATCTGGAGATGATAACGGTAATCATGATCATATATCATTTTGTGTTTGATGATTTCGTCTTTTTCTCTCACCCTCACAGACACTCAAGTACGTCTAATATAGTAAGTGTTATCAAGCTGGACTCGAGGTGGACATGGTAATCAAAACCTAAGATTTTGTTACAAAACATCTTGTACCACAGGTCAAGCTGAGGATGGGAATGTAGATGGTCAACAAGCTGCAAACAACGGAGAGGAGCCCAGAAAGGGTTCCAGCAAGAAAGTAAACACAGACCTTATTTGTACTTGGACACTGCATTTACTGATTTCTAGAAAGATTTCAGTGATGTGAAGATGCTAATTGGTGTGAATTCGTACATTGCTGTTAGTCAGGTTCAGGCTGCGTCGTTACCAGATTTTACATTAGATTATATTTTGCAGTATAAGTTAATGGTCGACGTTGGTTTTCTAGAGTGGAAGCCATTCCAGTACGTTGGAGGCATCATTTGATTCTCTCAACATCAAGAAATTCGATGGTAAGAAGTTATTCCTGCTCTCCAGACCTAGGATGACGTGTCGTGATTTAATGTTGCTGATATGCGTAGGCTAGGGTGTAGGGTTGTTATGTTGATCTCAATGCTCTTCCAAGTTATGCAGCTTGTCGCCAAGAGAGCCGCCTTATGTGAATTGCCTAATTGATTTTTGCAGTGGCTTTTACTGTGGACCCATTATTTCAGCAAACATCAGCGCAATTTGATGAAGGTGGAGCGAAAGGTCTTCTTCTTAATACACTTTCCGTGTATCAAGGATGTGAGATCGTGTTTGATTCTTGGGAGGTACCTGAGAAAAGCATGTTGGCTCAAGCTAAGAATGATTCTGAGCGGCACGCTTCTGTAAACCTATCGTTCATGAAAGGTAGGTCGTTCCGTGCCTTACAAGAGACATGTCTTTGCATTGCGAGGTCTGTGTGCTAGTGAACTTTGCTTAAAGTTGCTCTCTGGTGCCAATCGATGCATTCATCTGTTCATGCCTTAACCGTACTACACTTCATGGTTCACAGATAGTATTGATGCGATGCTGGAGCGTTTACTCGAGGAGAAAGAGATCTCGCCGTCTTTAGACGATATCGTCAAAATGTTAAACGATCCCTATCGGACGTCAACCCTGGCTGAAGCTTCCAAGCAGTCCTCTGATTTTTCTGAGGATGAAGAAATAAACTCACCTTGGCAATATGGAGATGCCGGGGAAGATTATGACAACGACGCTGAGGAAGCTTTTGACCTTGGAGGTTCTAACGGGTACCAAGAAGGAAATTATCTGGATGGAGCGTTTGATGCAGTGGATGATGACATTGGCGTGGATCCAATGCCTGGGTTAGGTCCTGACTTGGAAGACGAGGAGGTAAGCACAATTCTCCTATTTAGTGCATGTCCCAAATAGTTTCCCGTCAACATCATCCTCTTTGTTTTTGTCTTCATAAACTCCACCGCCATCAGACGTTATATTATTTACAGTTTATCTCTTCCTGGACTTGGTGTGATACTATGTTTTCCAGCTAAAAGAATCGTTTTTTTTTAACTTGCACCTGATCCAAACATGTGATCATCATGTCAACCACTAGTGCTCAGTTTAGACTGATATCCACTCGCTGTTTTCGCTATGAGTTTTATTGAGATCTTTTCTTCGAATACATTCCCTGAGCAACTCAATGTGTTTTCAGCTAATTCACCTTTTTGTTGTTTTGAAACTATTTATAGGGAGTTGCGGGAGGAGAAATGGAGTACACTGAGGATGGGAATGTCGTCAGCCACTCAGCTGTTGATTGGATGAACGCTGGCTTCGGCTTATTAGACAAGTCCAATGCTTGGGCCGGACCTGATCATTGGAAATACAGGAACCCTCGAGGTACACGACATCCCTCACAACTGAATAAACCTGAAGTTTGGTAGTCTTCTGTTAGTTGTTGCTTACATGTAGATACAAATTTAGGTGGCATTAAAAAATGGTTTTCAAAGCAAATTCTAAGAGGATTTATGGTTAGACCTTTAAACCTAGCAATTTAAGCTATTGCGTCCTTTTAAAAGTAAGTCATTTCTATGAGGTAAGCATACTCACGCTTCAGTATCTTGTGTTGGTTTTGATCCAGCTCAGTAATAGGTCGATATTCGTTTTGATAATTCTGTGGTGATGTTTGGTTCCTTGTTAACATGACATGGTTAGTAAGTGTCTAATCAAACCACATCCTAGTTAACCCTGCGGCATCTTAAAGTGTCTGGCCTCTTTGTGGGTTTCAGACGGCCATCGTGGACAGACTGGAGATGAAAATCCGAGCTCAACTAAAGTGAAAAGAAAGAAACGCCAACCTTTCGTGCTTGATTTCGAGAATCCTCCGGAGATAGACATGTCACTTTTCAATCGTGCTCAGGACCTTCGTTCTACGCTTCTCGTGCAACGCGGTGTTGCTTTCAATGGCCTTCTCCCAGAGGATGTCCATTATGAAGCTTTGAATCTTGTACACCTTTTTCTTCGCCCTTCTATTTTGGTAAGTGATATTTCTGCTGTATCCTTGCTAATCAAATCATAATGAACTTTTCATCTGTGTATGGACTTTTTCGAACTCAAAATGTACGGCAGGCGTGCTTGTGCTTGTGAAATGTATACTGAAGGCAATACTGTGTTTATGCAGTGTATCTGGAAGAGAGAAAATCAAATTACAGGTGATTTTTTCCTGTCGCTGCTTGTGATATCTTGAATGCTGTTGTGTTCAATTTCCTCGATATCCGTTTTGCAGTACCATTGACTTGAATCTTCTGTGCAGATGGACACAAACAGAGTGATCTTTCTGGTCTGTCCGGGCAGGACTATGGATATGATTCTGGAAATGACTGTGGAATGGACGGTTTTCATGGTGACTGGCCTGGTGACGATGGTGATGGTGATGGTGATGTCGAGGACCCGTTTGGCACTGATCTGGTTGCTGTTCCGCGCAAGGTATAATTTTCACATGCGGTTACATTTGAGAATGTAGAAATTAAGTTTTGTACCCTGTATGTTATGCTACAAGAAAGACACTGATACTCTCCGCTCCGTGTTACAGATTCAGAAAGTTGATGTGAATTACGACAAAACATCAAAACAAGTCGACGTGCGTATTTTGAAAGAATCACTTTGGTCCCATCTTCAGGATATTCAGGCTGCCACTGACGAAGTATGTCCTTGGAATTGCTTGAACATGAGAATGTTTCCATTATGTGTTATTGAAGGCTTTCTATTGATTTTGATACATATGGTGTTATGGTGACCAAGGTTATAATTCTGTGGTAGACAGTGTAGCTAGAAGCTCGTGGTCTCTGCTTGAACAATTTCAGCAGACCATCGACCTGAAACTGACGAATTTGAAAGTTCTGTTTTCAGAGGTGGTAATTTTCAGGAACGAAACTGATGCTGACGCTTTCTATATTTGTGTAAATACCAGGATGAGCCTGAAAAGGAACCCGCTGGTGTTCCTTTCCAAAATCTGCTGAACGTCATCCCTGAAGACTGTGCTGCTGCTGAGCGCGAGGATATTTCTGTGCAATTGTGTTTCATTTGCCTTCTCCACTTGGCAAACGAGCATAATCTGCGCATCGTGGATTGCCCTACAATGGACGATCTGCAGATTTTTCAAGCCTAAGTCGGAGCCATGCTTTCAGGAGTGCTTCTAAAATTGGGTGTCAAATTGTCAGATACTTTTAGCTGTACAGAGCATCAGGTGTTCGTGATCCCCTACACACCCCTGATTTTCGCAAATGTTCATTATGGTGTAATTTTCATAGGATTTGGATGCAGTCCACCATCCAACTTGAAGCGTACCATGTGTACGCTTTCTCACTGCAGTGTTTTTAATGTTAAGGTTTAGGAAAATCTTCCTCCTGACACTGATTTTGTTTCTAGTTAACAGAAATAAATTGCGAGAGTATTATGGTCTCGAAAGTATTAACTTGTTTTCTTAAGGTAGTAGTTAATTAAGCATCTCCCAAACTGCACTGTGATGGTAATCGCCTCGAACAGAACTTGGTAGACTTACAATTGTAAATTTTTATTTAATTATCTGAGAAATGTAATAAAACAATACAAAATAAAACTTTGATTTGTGAAGGATTTGTTCGTTGTATTAATGTTCAAAAAATTCATCTATGTTCAATTTAGTTTTGAATACCTCGAAATTATAACATATTTTCTAAACTAATGGTGTTATCATAGGGTGTTATCATTTAAGTTTCTAATAACGCTTGCTTCTTTGATATTGTTATTAGTATGTCATTTGTACAATAAAGCATTTTCTGATTTCCATATAGATTTTCACATTTTAACTGAAATTTTCATCAACAATTCTAAAACCTCTATAAGAAATCTTTCTTTTCGGTTAGTCTAACTTCTGTTGTTGAACCTGAAGAAAACAAACAAAATTCATGTATTTTTAGATTAGAATTTCACAGGTGAAAAGTACTGCATTATAGCTGGAATGGTTTTTTTGATTTCAAGTATTATTGGAAAGGTTTTATTACAGTCAAAAAAATTGGGATTGAACGAAAAAACACTAGATAAGTAGACAATCTGTTTGTACAAACAAATTGTCTAATAAATATTTAGAGATGAATCTATTGTAAAACTCAATTGTAAAAAGTTTGAAATTGAAAGATAACTAGTAACAAACGAAGTAATGAATTTTAATGGCGTATCAATATTTGACTATATAATTAAATCTTGTGTTTTTTTTATCTAAATAAATAAGTTATTTGAATCAGAATTATTTCGTTCTTCTGTAATTAAATTTTAGTGTTTTATTCCTGATCTTTGTAGATATTGTTAATTTTAATTTTAAATTATTGTAAACATACTCTTGTATTAAAAATTGTATTTGCTTATTACAACAAGAAACAAGTGACAAATAGAATTGTAATATCTTCAAGTCTAAGAATATAATTTACATGTTATTGACATAATTTTCTTATGTTTTAAAATTTGTAACACTAAAAGACAAACCACCAAATCATTTAAAAAAATTAATAATATAATATGAAATCTATGCCAACAAGTTCAATAACCTAGACAAGCAAATTTCATGAGTCAAATAAAAAATATATATATTAAAGATATCTTGAAACATATGCAAATAAACCAAACTGTGGCATGCAAGAAACCATTGATTAAAATATCAATAAAAATGTTGTAGTTTTTTAATATGATTCAATCTTCTTTATGTTATTTACAGGCATCATTGGAATAAAATTTGTACACGTTTTTTGACTTGGTATTATTTTATGTAGTCTTGACTTTTTATTGAAAACAATTCATGTGAATTTTTTTACTTAGATGAACTTGTTAAGGCATTTATAATTATATTTAGAAATTTAAAATAATTAAAAAAATCTAAAATCTGAATAAATTTTATATTTGTTGTTATCTAAGTTTGCTTAAAGTTTAACAACTTTCATGTCACCTTATTTGAACTGAAAATAAATTCAGCAACAATTTAGATGTTGTTAAAAGAATAATATATGGTATCTATTGTTCAAATCATTAAAAAGCTTTCTAGAGGAAATCTATAATTTAGATAATTGTTTGTAGTTATGTTAAAGTATAAGTTTATTAATGATTGAATTTTCTTTCCAAATTTGAAAAAATCATATTTATAATAATAAATTTATGAAATGGATAACTATCTCATTATCAATAACAAAGTATTTTATATCAAATTTAACATTATTTAGTGTCCTAAAAGTTGACTCACAAATATAATATTTTAGTTTAAATTCTAGAATCTTGATATTAACAAACCCTTGCAAAAATTACTTTGAAATTTAAATCTTCAAAACTTCAAAGGAAGATATGGTCTTATTAGCAAAAATATTATTAAAAAAGAAAAAAAATAAACATTCACTTTATTCATAAAAAATCTATATTTATATTTTTTTGTATTAATGATATATTATTCTATATAAAAAGATTCATTATTTCAAAAAAATGGATATTTGCAAATAAAAATAAAATTTCATTAAAAGTATTTTTTGGAATTATTTATGACATCTCATTATAATATTGATGGTAAAATTGAAAATAGGAACTACGGTCACAAAACTTTAAAACACAATACAACTCAGAATTAGAAGATTAATGTTGTTTTATTTATATTTGTTTCCTAGGAGATTTTTACCTTTATCTTCCATTCACTAGCAAAAAATAAAATAAAAAAAAATAATAATACTATCTAGTTGATTTCCTTAATTGTGTATATCAGTTTTTATCATTTTTCACAGTTGATTTGCATGACATTAATGAAATAGAGCTGTTTAATTGTTTATTACACAATTTGCATTGTGATACATTTTGGTATTGTTTATTAATTCATACCAATAACATGCTTTAATATATTCCTCAAGAACCAAAGCAAGGGCCTCCAATGCGAGCTGTTAAGCTGTGAAATATTCTTAGTTTGTTTTTTAGAAATTTAAATTTGTATTGAATTTCAATTTATTTTAACTTTTTATTTTATTTTACAAAACTGAAGCAAAAATATCAATATATACATTTGAGAAACGTAATGAAAACTTTGACAAATGATACATAATTTTCTGCTGGAATAGTTATATTGGATCTGTGCCAAATTTTCAACAATATTTATCAAAATAAATGGAATTAAAAATATATATTGAAAAAATTATAAAACAATTGATTTTTTGAAAGAAATCAACTACCATCGTCTTCAATTATTCAGTGGAATATGCCATTAATGGATATGTCAGAAACCCAATCTTGGCAATTGAAGGCTTCTACTTTTAGACTTAATGCTCTCATTCAAATGAGAGACCGCATGTAAAAATTGAAGAAATTTTTAGGTTACAATTCATCTTCATTTTAAACTCAAGTTAATAATTTCATGTTAAAATAAAAAAAATAATAAAAAATCTGTAGAGAAATCATAAATCTCTTTCTGAATTGTTGTTGAGATTTGTATTCAACTTATATACCACTTCTCAAACTCAGAACTTACATTTATAGGTAACAAAAGAATGTTTGAATATGAATATGTGTGTGTATATATATATATATATATATATATATAGCTTATTTCGGTTGATATTAATTTTATAATAATATTTTGTAGAATAATATTTGTTACTGACAAAGATACGTATAAACTTTTTAGGATATAAGGACCCAATTAATGATTATTACAACAAACAATATGAACTGTTGCAGTTGTATTATGATATGGATGGTGTAAATAAACATGAAGGGTATATTCCAACTTCGTCTCAAGTAATTCTTCTAAATTGTTTGTTTAATAAGATTTTGTATACAAATCACAATGACACTATTGTTCTTTATACATGTAAACAAACATAATCCTACAAATGTCATACTTAAAAATTAGTATATATATATATATATATATATATATATATCTTTATCTTCTTTCATATTCTATATTATAAAATTATAAAACACTCACACGTTTTAACAAAAAAAAGTATTTATAGGAAATATATAGTTGAATTGATTTTGTGTAGGAAGAAAGAGATTTTACAAGGCAAAGAGAGCAATGGGCAATTAGTTTATCCAACATTGCTAATGTAGTGTTGCTTTTGAGTAAGATTTACGCTTCTTATGTGAGCCTATCACTTGCTATTATTGCCTCTACTATGGACTCTTTACTTGATTTGTTGTCAGGAATTATTATATGGTGGGCGGCTATGTCCATGAAAAGAGTGAACAAATACATATATCCTATTGGTAAAAAACGAAGACAACCTTTGGTATGAAAATTATGTATAAGCCATCTTCATTTAGAGTTTGAGTTGTTTTATTATATAAAAAAATCTAGGCTTAATGTATCTTTTCTTAACTAAAGCGTTTTGTTGCCATTTATTCAATCTTTTTACAAAACAAATATATTATCAAAACATTGATTATACATTGAGCTAAATTATACCAATACAATTAATTTGAATCGTCCCTTAAAATTATTCATGTCACATTAATATTTAGTCATCCAAGAATAATTGTAAAGTTTTTTTTTTTTTTTTTTTTTTTTTTTTTTTTTCTCTAAATATATATATATATATATATATATATTTTAAAAATAAAATCTCATATTAAAAATTATGATAGTTAGTCTTTAAAGTTAAGTAAGAAGACTTGTTCATGGATATATATATATATATATATATATGTGTGTGTATTGATAGTGATGATATTAATTTGGTAGTATAGGAAATCATGATATTTGCTTGTGTAATGACCATGTTGGGATTAGAAATAATCATTGAATCATCTTACAAACTGTCATCATCAGTAATTTTCAAAAAAAAAAAATCAACAATATTTCATATTTCAAATAAATAAAATATTTTATTTTTTATTAAAAAAACACCAGAATTCAATTGAGATTTCTAAAAGTCCTATACTAAGTTTATAAAATTTAAGAGATTTTCAATCATTTAAATTATAAAATTGTGTTTTCACATCCAAAATGAAAGTTTTGCAAGATCATGTATTTGACATTGAAAGTGGCTCAAAAAGGTTGTGGGTGGTTGGCATCATGCTTACAGTCACGGGCATCAAATTTCTATTGTTTATATTTTGCCGTCAATTTGATAATAAAATTGTTAAAGCATATGCACAAGACCATTTCTTTGATGTTATAACTAATTTTGTTAGTCTAGGTGCCACTTTGCTTGCCAAAGCCTATGTTTGGTGGCTTGATCCTATTGGTGCCATTTTGGTAAGCCACCCAATATAGTTACAAATACAATTAATAAAACAAGACTTTAATTTTTATTTTGCTACGTCCTTAATTCAAATTCAAATATATCAATGCTTGAATTCTATATAGATTTTTTTATTTTATTTTATACTTCTATCATTTTTTCTTAAAATATACATGATCAATTAAAGCATATTTACAAATATATATATATATATATATATATATATATATATATATATA